TGGGAGATATGCCCTGGGGGCGACATTTGCAATTTTAGTTAATAACAATAGTCGTTGAAGGGAGATAACATATATGCTAGTAGATTGGGCCAAAACACGTACTCGTTGAGCTGTCATGGGCATGAGATTTGGGCTTGGGCTTGGGCTTGTAGTAGGTCACGATTTATGTGAACAGTTTCTGTTTATCAGATTGTGTTTGTTTAAGCAAAAATTTTTCAACAGCTGTGTCTTTTGGACACAATCTTTCAACTTTTATAAATTTACCCTCATATCTTGGATTTTATTTATTCCAAAATCATTTCAAAGTCTCTCCATCAAAATTAATATTCCTTTCTTTCCCGCACTATTTCGAGTTGTCCATTTCGTTCTTGAATATTATTTTCACGCATATTTTAGTACCCTTTTGGTTCATAGAGATCAAAACATTAATAGGTTTGTCAAGTCTTATAATTAGGACTGCTACTATTATAACTCGATGTCATAATATCTTGGGAGACTAGCGTCAGAGGACTGTCACACCCGTGTGAGACAATATCGTCTTAAAGGAAAAAGTTGAACTCTTGTCTTGATCATTCATATTAATTCTGTACTGTTTTTCTTTCTTGAGCAAGTCAAAACTCTACCAGATTTTTCACTTGCCAAAGGATTATTTTTGAATTTATATTTGTCGCATGTAAGTCTCTGCCTATGCACGACTATACACCTCTGCCTTTGAGCAACTCATAAAAAACAATGACGAACTGAGTAGATTGAGCTCAACGTGCACGAACTTTAACTAATTTCAGTAGTTGTAGTGCACAAGACCCGGTTAGTTTCAAGGAGTCCTCCCACAAATATATGATCACTTTGACGCAGGCGAGTACAAATGAAAATTAGAATACCTTTTCATACAAGTGTCTATTGACATGCAATTCTAGTTAATTAGTAGATGTATAGGATGAATGATATGTATAATATTTTTAAAGTATTGATATAGTTTTTTAATGTAGTTGATGTAATTGATATTGTTAAAAAAAAAAAAATTTAAAATTGTTAAAATTTTTATGAAATTATATATTTTGATTACAGTGAAAATGTTGCATAAACTGAATTGTAATAGTTTAATTATAGTAACTCTTCTTTGAGTACAATATTTTTTGTTAACGTCTGATTACTTTCCCTTTTTTTTTTTTACTTTTATCAAGACTTCTATTTTTTGTATTGAAATTTCGTGAGAAAGTGCGACACTGCCCATGAGAGGATACATGTTGAGGATTGTATATTTTAATAGTGGCAATGTTTGTCCTTGAGCCTTGTTAATAGTCATTGCAAAGTATAGAGGTATTGAAAATCATTTCCTCTTGAATTTTTATCTTTATTTCCTATATTTTCAACTCAATTTATTATTATTTTTTATTTTACTTTTGTAGCAAGAAAAAAATATTGTAAGATTTCCCAACTTTACAATGTATATAATACTTAATAATATATTAACATAAAATGAATATTTCAACTTTTACATTACAAGGAGTTACAGAAAATTTTACAGATAGTTGATATGTCTAAAAGAGTGGAGAATTTTTTAAAAATTCTTGGTTGAAGAAATTTTAATTCAATCATATCTCACCACATTATGTGTATCTAAATAAATCTGTAAGTGGTGATATACATGTAGTACAACCGATATAAAATAGTTCTACTTTTATTAAATAATCAAATTTCATTGAATAACATGTCATAAAATAATTTTTCAAAATTTCAAACCAAATGCCTTTTCTAATTTTTTTTTTTTTGAGAAATGAGTTTTCAAAATGACAAACTAAATGCATTTTTAGCAATCCTAAAATGGACCTTCAAAATATTAAACTGAAAATGAATTCAAAACTCAAAATTAAAACTGAAATTGGAACACAAACTAAATGTGCATTTATATTTTAAATGCTTACAGCCCAAAATTGTCTATTTTTTTATATAATAATTAAGATTAAAATAATGATATTTTGCAGTAATGCACGTATAATATAGACTTCAAACATTAAAATACCTTTTTATTTTATTCATTTTCAAAAAAATAAATAAATAAAATTGACAAGGAAAAAAATTAAAAAATATATTTTCACCGATTCATTAGTCAACATCAAATTTATTGAAAAAGAGACTCGATTGAAAATGCAAGTTTATCGATTTAATTTATTTAACATTAGAACAATTAAAAAATTTTGAAAAAAAATTCAATTGAACAATTAAAGTAATTTACTAAAGTATCTTTCAAAGTTGAATTACATTAATAACCAAACCAATTCAATGACCGAAAAATGAAAATTTCATTATCCTTAATACATATGTTTCTCAAAAGAAAAAAATGACCTTCAAAGCTTAATAAAAGTCAACCATGGGAGCATTAATTATTAATCATTTGCTTCCGAAAAATTCTCATTTTTTTTATATTTAATTCAGAAATTAAAAAGAAAAACTTTTTTAAATAAATCGAAAATGTTACAGATTTCTTTCTAATTCCTACGGAAGACATGTGCATTGAGGTTATAAATAAGGCAAATAACTC